TGGCAGCAAGAGGAACTTATTTGAGGAGCCCCGTCCCAAGCAACCTTCCAGGTCCATGGCAGCAATATGGGAACGGAGGCAACAGCTCAGGTATTGGAGCCCAAGCCCTTCCCCACCACACAGCTTAGCCCGGAGCTGGGGTGGGCACACTTGGACAGAAAAGGAGGAAGACCCAGGACGGCCCAGAAAAACAAGTTCCCACCTTGCCTGGGACCTCCTGGTGCTTCAGCAACACCTGTGAGTACATACAACCCACTCACCTGCTGCTCTTCTGAGGAGAGGAACCGGTGGCTAACGTGACAAGGCCCATCACCGCCATTGGCGGCTCTATAAATTAATGTCTCTGTCTCCGAGAGGCTTGTTCGTGCTCTGGGAAACCCGGATGCGGATGCTGGAGACACTTCTTGGTGGTAGCTCAGACCTCCCTGGGTACCACCAGTGGTCGAGCAATGGTGTCTGCTCACTGCCGCGCTCTCCGTCCCTTGCAGGCAGGGCTTGGCTTCCTCTGCCCCTACAAGCCGGCACAGGCTGTCTGCTCGCTCCAGGTCATCCGTCTCCACCTCTGCGCAGTCCCACCTACCACCGCCCTTGACCTTCCCGCTCAGTGAGGCTTCGAAAGGCGACTTCCCCACATCCACGGCCATCGGGACAGAACTTCCACAAAACGATTCCAAGCCTCAGGGTCTCTGAAACACACAACACACGGTAACGGCAACTCACCGCTCTGCCTCGTCTCCACGCCAAGTAAAGGGACTGGGTAGGTCTAATAATGAAGAGCTTCAGCATGTTCTGGGTGAGACCCCAAAAATCATAAAGTCACATCTCGGTGCATCAAGTGGGACAGAGGAAAGAGCAAACCTTCGTGTCTCAGCAGGGTTTTCTGGTTTTGAGGACATGACACACGGAGAAAATCTAATCAAAGCTCTGGCCACAGTGAGAGCAAACCCTGCTTTACACCTTGCTGGCACAGGGCAGCTGTCTCCAAAATTAATGGCCAGTTTCACAAACAGCCCGTGCACCACGAGGTCACTGGGCCCAAATGAGACATCATTAGCCAGGATGTGAAACACCTGTTAGTGTGGCTCAGCCCCGAGGGCCGTGGGGGTGGAAAGTTGAGGGTTTTTTAAGAGAAAAACTCCAAACTTTGAAATGGAAGCCACCCAGAAGCGAGAAGTATACATAACAAAATTAGAGGGGAAGGTAGGAGGCTGTAAAACCCAAACTTGGCACTTAGCTCTGCAGCTTCTACCCCGACTCATGAAATTAACTTTAGTGAAATTAATTAATGTAAATACTTGCTTAACTGATGACACATTTTCAAGCATGCTGTACAGCCAAGCCCATTGCAATTTGCTGAAAATCCTTCTAACATGAGATATTATTCTCGAAGCCTGAGCCCCAGGCGCTCCAGGCGCGGAGATGCTCCACCACCCCCCTCTCGCTGCCCATGCTGGACTCGAGTGAGGAGCTGCAGGAGGACAACCGATGAGCCCCATCAAGGAGACCAACACAGCACACAGGAGATCTTGTTTTGCAAACACCAGCCAGAGCCAAGGGCCTCTGCTTGTGTTCACCAAGCTTAGCAGGACTCAAAGATACTCTCAACACAAATGACGTGTTGCGGGCTCCCCACAGAGCATCGAAACCGGCGGTGCTGAACTCCCCATGCGTAGGCTCTGTGCCGCTCGGTCACAGGTGGGCGTCCTTGCAGGCCCAGCTGCACCAAAGCCTCTTCCAGCAACCCCAGCCTGAACCAGGGTGCTGGCGTTAGGGAAACACGGTCAGAGAGGTTTTGCCGGTAGTCACCCAGCTAGAGCAGGGCTAGCGATGGAGGGGCCAGCCAAGGAACATCAACAGCAAACTCAACTTAAAAAGAAACAGGAAAAAAAAAAAAAAGGAGGAAAGAAAGTATTCCCAAACAATACTTGGAAGTGGGAAACAAGTTGATACTCACACCCTCCATCAGCTCTTTTGTTGTGATCTTGTTTTATGACCCACCCCTCCGGTGCCGGGGTTCTCCCATGGGCAGAGCCCATACACACGAACAAAGAGCAGCGGGGTGACGTGCCGGGTCTCCAAGGGGAGACCAACTCCCCGGCACAGCCTGCGGCAGGCACTGCAGCTGCCTTTCCCCTCCCCGAGAGCCAGCAGCCCATGCAACTGCCGGGCAGCTATATTCAGCACAGCAGCAGCTGTGGAGCAGGCGAGACAAGCCTGGGCTCTCCCAGCCCTCCACGCAAGCCGTGTCCCTCTGCCGACACCTGGACTCACCCATTTTGTCATTTAAGTTGCTCCCAAACACAACCTTAGACACATCATGTTATCCTAAAATGAATGGTATTGCTTCTTCCCCCTCCCCATCCCCCCCAAAAAAGGTTGTATATCTAAATAAAAAGGCATGGTAATTGCAATAAACATAACTGACAAACCTACCCCTGCTCAATCATTAAAATATATGTGATCATATATATTTTGTTTAACAGATGGTAAATTTCTGAACCTAACAGAAAGAGTATCCCAAACCACTCAGGAACCCATGTGTGTTTTACACACAGCCCGTGTGTGATTTCTTCATGTATCCATCATAAAGATTTTTAAAGTCCGTGATCTTCGAGCCCCCAGAGACAAACCCCCATTGCCTGCCAGCCTCCGCTGGCTCCCATTTTGTCCCTCTCCATTAGTTTTGTTCAGACAGACACGTAAGCAATTATTAGTGAAGCAAATACCAAAAGGTCAAATCCAACCCACAGGTGATTTGAATGCCCAGAAAATCCCCCTGGGTATAGGTGTTTGCAAGCCTTGAAAGCCAGGGCTTTGGCCGCAGGAAGAAGCGATGCTCGCTGGCTGGACTCCTCCTCTTCCAACCAAAAACTATTGAGCAAAAAGCTGCCGGGGTGAGCAATCGTAAGGTACCGCACATGAAACTCCAGGATCCATTTCAGAGCCACACAGCCTGCCTCAAATTCACCAGGTGATTCAGCAGAGAATATCACTATTTATCACGACATGAACCGGCATCTCACCGGCTCTAATCCCGCCTTGTACGTACTGGCACGTACATCCAAAAATGATCCAGCAAAAGTAAATATAAATCTTACCAGAGTGGAGGAAGCTGGACACCTGCAGTTTAGGATGTAAATGCCTTGCCAATCAGCTCTGTTGTTGGGTAGTGATTTAAAAAAATTTATATAAAAGAAAGAAAAGCTGAACAAGGCATCAAAGCAGATTTTAAAATTTTAACTTGGATGCACAGTAGTTAACGATCGACCTTGGTATCTCTTTATTTTTAAAAGATTCCATGTTAAATTCTAAGTGATGTTGAACATCGTTATCTCTATCAGATTTAGCAGTTTAAGTCACGTGTCAGTCAGCCCAGTAAAAACAACTTTAAAAAAAATATAGAAGCTTGACCTTAAATTTGAAAAGCATGTGTTAAGCTACATTAAAAAAATTGCAGGTCACATAGAACTCAACTGTTATTTCTGTAACTGTATTCAGGATCACGAGGGCTGAACTATCCTTAACTTTCAAGACTATTTGTTGATCTTATGGACGTAGCACGCAGCGATACACATTTCTATCATGCCATCAGTCTTTAAAAAAAGAGCAAGTGCTCAGGTTCATTAAATCTCCAGAAGCTAACTGGAAGCTAAAGAGAAACCTGGAAACCTGCCAATACACACGGCTAAGAGTAAATCTGCTTATTTCAGAATTTGTAAGGAAATTCCAAGAGCCAGCAGGGATTTCACTGCATTTTCAAGTCTCTAATTCAGGAAGCTAATTTAAATTCATTCCAGGATGAGCGGGACACACAACCACACTTGGATGCAAACTAGATGGGGAAGCCGCACACATCCCGTACGCAGAACGATCAGGCAAAACCCTCTATTTAACCAGACTGAAAACGCTAACGCCACTAAGTGCAACTCCCAACTACAAGAGCATCTAGAAAACATGTTTTCTCACCATTTTCCAACAAAACTGCAAAAATTCAAGTCGGGTTGGCGGTGCCACATCCCTCACGACGGGAGGAAGCAAGCCCAAATCCTCGGCAGGACTGACACAGCTATGAAGAGGGATGTACAACCACAGCTCTAGGCACCGTGGAGACTTTCCACTGCCCTTAAAATCACAGGAAAGCGGCCAGAAACCCCGGCTACACCCCAGCCCTCATTGTCTCTCCAGCACGGGGCGGCACAGAAACCATACCCGCGGCCAGTTTTTCAGATAACAAATGAAAGACAGGGGCTGTTTCATTCACTTCAACAGGGGAAGGTCCACTGGGATCTCTCAGGAAAAGCAATCCCTGAACTTTTTCATCTCATCAAAAGCACGCTGCCTGCCACGGAGCCGCAGAAAGCTCAGCAGACAGCGAGCGCCAGCTCTGTCCCAGCCAGCGACATCCCACCCCCGCGGGTACCCCTCGGCTGCCGGACCACCAGCAGCAGCGGACGCTGATGGAGTTTCCGTCTCCCACCAGCTCTGGTGTTGCTGGGGAGGGGGGTTTTTTTGTTGTTTTGGGAAGAAACCGACCCTGTCCCTGCTTTTCAGGCCTGCGGGATGGATCCGAGTTTTGATTTTGTGGGGGTTTTTTTGCTCCTTTTTCTTGCTTTCTGTCTGAAAAGCCTTTCCACAGATGGAAAAAAAAATCAGATTAAAAAAACCAAAACAAAACAAAAAAACCCCCACCCAAAACAACACAAAAGCAAAGGCAACAGAGGCGAGGAAGCACCGTATCCCGGGGGTGCCCTGAACTGCTGCGGGCACGGGGGCAACGCGCCACGGGTAACGGGGACGG